ATGTACATCTGGAGACATTCTGCGGCCGATGTAGTGTCCCTTTCAAGGCGCACCTCCCTAACCATTCATGTACATCAAGCATTCATCAACATACATTCCATATCTTAACCATATTTTAATTTACTGTCTCCACCACTTTCGGGGGGTGTGCTAATTCATTTGAGACTCCTGGCCCTTTAATCACAGAGGGTGGGGGTCTGTTCCTAGGAGCCTAATTGCTGTTACAATGAAGTGAAAGTCACTTAACGGCTTATAGCGTTTGTTTACATTGTATCAATTACTTCAAGAACAAAGTCAATTAACTTGTTTATGAGTTTTACATAGTAATAAAGTATCTTTCACAGGATAGATATAATCAATGGTTTCTACAGACAATAGCTTACAAGTTTTAACAGAAGACCCAAGAGATTTTTGTACTTGGTGAAACTGTTGGATTTTGAAGTGTGGGGGACAAATTATGAGGTGTTGGATTTTAAAGTGTGGGGGGCAAATTATGGGGGGGGGGTCACTGTCACTTGGGGGAATCACTGTTCGTACCTTCTTTAATATCCGTATATCAGTACCGGACAAATTAGTTGAAACAATAGTTAAAAATAAAATTGTCAGACAGAAGAACATAAATTGTTGGGCAAAAGTCAACATGGTTTCTGTAAAGGGAAATCATGTCTTACTAATCTATTAGCGTTCTTTGAAGGGGTTAACAAACATGTGGACAAGGGGGATCCAGTGGACATAGTGTACTTAGATTTCCAAAAAGCCTTTGACAAGGTCCCTCACCAAAGGCTCTTATGTAAACTAAGTTGTCATGGGATAAGAGGGAAGATTCTTTCATGGACTGAGAACTGGTTAAACAACAGGAAACAAAGGGTAGGAATAAATGTTAAATTTTCAGAATGGAGAGGGGTAACTAGTGGTGTTCCCCTGATTGGGGGGAGACCCCTCTTCAAATGTTTTCCCCCCCTCAGCCAGAGGGGGGAATTGAATCTGTGTCTCCCATACCCCAAGCAACGGGGCTACCAACAGGGCTAAAAGTTATAAAGTGGGCACCACCTCCTCTGGCTGGATTTTGAATGGAACTCAATCTGGTAGGCAACCTCTGAGCATGCCTACCGGATCGGGCCTCACATGACACTTAGGTGGTTGAACGTCTGTCTTCCCCTGGTTCATAAATTGCTCTAGGTCTAGGACTTAGATGGGAGATAGGCCTTCAGATGCCTTGAGGGGACAAAAGTGTCCAGAGGCAGGAACATAGGAGCCTATGGAACTTTTACTCTGAAAAACTTTGGTGCTGAGTTTAGGCACTTACAGGGCTTGGCAGGAATTTTGTAAATCACACTGGAGCTAAAACTAGGATTTAGGGGTCTATGTCTGGGGTTTAGCACCTAAGTACCTTCATGGATCCCACACAGAGAAATTAGACAAAAGAAGAGATATGCTTGTGGTCATGATGTACAGGCAATTACTGCACTCCACTTGGGAATTTTAGTCCAAGGTCACTTCATAACTGTTTCCTGTTGTATCAGTGAAAACTTAGCCTGCAAGTAACAGTAGAACCAATTAGTGTTTTTATAGAATGTATCCTGCACTTTGATAGACATTTCAGGACAGATTCTCAGGTGCTTGGGTGTATACTATACTATACAATGTACAGTGACCCTAAAACTGGTATAACCAGTCCGGGACTGATTACAAAGGGGATCCTCTAGTGGAACAACAGAGTGGGTGCTTTTACGCACCTCCTTTGCCTATTGCTGGTATAGGAGGAAAAAGGGAGTTTAATCAGGCTGCCCCATAGCCACAGATCCTGTGGTTTTGGACCCTTCAGCTATCTTCAGACTGCTTCAACTTGATGCAGGGGACTGACCCCTTCACAAAACCTACAACAGTTTTGCAAACAAAATACTCATTGGAGCTAAGGCAGTTTGCACCAAATAAGAATTAGCCCTCTGAACTGCACTCTCTTCAGATTGCTGCATCTTGCTCTTCTGCCTCTGGGAAACAGAGGGAGTTCTCATCAGTTGGCTACCAATGGTGTCCATTCGCACATTTACTGTTTTTCAAGGAACATCAATATTCTTAAAGCTAACTTTCTAAAATCTTTTTCCAAAAACATTTTTTTTCTTAAAATGGCACCACATAATTTACACAAATTATTTAGAGAAACAATTTGTGGTGGTTTTTTAGATGTTCTTCAAAAAATCACATGCTAAACATTTCAATAACTATTGCTAAGAATATTGACAATTCTGAAGTTAACATTCATTGCCTTTTAGAGAGGCTGCAAAATCTGACCTTAAACAAACTTAGCTCCAATCTTAACTACAAAGTTACTCTATTTCCATAATAAACTCAACTTAATAACTCAGTTTAGATCAGTCTCTAATCATAGCTGTTTTTCTCAAAGGTTTAAGGAATAACTATTAACATCCGGATGGAAGTTGTATGATACAATACACTGGATTTTTTGGTGTGTAGGCTACAAGTGGCATCTGTCTGTTTTCAGAGCTGTCATCAAAATATTTCAGAAAATTCCTTAAATGATACAAAAATGTGCAAGTATTCCTTAGATAACCTTATAAATATATACATATCACAAGGAAGACATCTACTGTCAACCCATCTTTAATGTAAGATTCCTACCTGACCAAGCACTTTTGTTGCTGTTACATGCATTAATTTGGAATTGGATAAACCAACATGACTGACACATATATAACAAAAAGAGCAGAAAGCGGGAATGAGAATGTGCTAATCTATTTCTTACTTTCCCTTGACAATTACGTGCATTTTAGTATCTGCTTGCAATTCCCTGTCATCTTTTCTCTTAAATTATCTCTATTTAGTGGAGTATCTATTCAAATTGTAGACATAAACTACTGTCTTGGTTATTCATTTTCTCTTTTCAGTTACATTTCCTTGAGAACAACTTATTGATACCGCCCTCCCCCCCCGGGCCAGGCAGAGCGAGTCTTGCCACATGTGGTAATTTTCTTAAAGCCCCTGCTCCTGGAGTGAGGTGCTCATGGGAGACTCAGCTTGCATTGGAAAAGCACAGCAACCCCCCCTCCTGCCGGCAGAGGGGAGCGTGGAAAGGGGACCCCAGTGCCCCTCCAGGCTCAGACCCAGGGGGATGGCTCCTCTCCCACACTGATGCGCTTCTAAAGCTGGTGATGTTTGAGCTCTGAGGGTTGGCGGGAAGGAACCCAGCAGCAGCCTTACTGGAATTTTGGAGGTGGGTGGGCACAAGCCCGCCCACATCTAAAGGCCCCTTCCCCAGTCTTGCAGGAGGGACCACTGGACCCAGAAACCAACTGAATACATGGGACAACTAATTAATAACTGGGTCAGGAGTGAAGGGCACAGGTTCAAAAGGAGGGATCCAGAGGGGGACACTGAACAGAGAACCCCAGACAGCGCCCACTGCTCCTCAAAGCTGTCTAGGGAGCCAACGGCTGCCGCCCAGAGGAACTCTGCCCAGATGTGTGAGACCGAGGAGTGGAAATAGGCACTATAGTCGCAGAGCACCCCCTTGTCTAACATCCTCCTCCTTGTGTTCAAGATGGCCACTTTGGCCAGGAGGAGGCTGACGAGGTTGTCTCACGACTTGGTGGGGCCATGGACAGGGTGGGCAAATATAAACAGGTGTGGGGAAAAGTGCAGCCAACACCTCAACAGGAGGTTCTGGAGGAGCTGGAATAAGGGCTGCAACCTAGCACATTTGAGATAAGCGTGCAGCAGGTTCTCTCTCATGCCGCAAAAGGGGCAGGCATCGGGGATGGGGGTGAACCATGCCAGGTACACGCCTGTGCTCACGGCTCCAAGGAGGAGCCCCCAACCGATATCCCTGGCGGGTCATGAGACCAGAGTGGAATAGAGGCTGGCCCACTGGGGTTCCTCACCCTCCACAGGTAGTAGATAATCCTGCCATTTGGTATCAGGGTGGGACATGAGTGTGAGAAAGTGAAACGTGTGGAGCACGAGCATGTATAGTTGTTTCCTTGGCACAGTTTGGAAGTGAACCGGCTGCAGGGCACGCAGCTGGTTTGGATTGTGGAAGGGAGGGGGCCGGGAGGGCTCACAGGACAGGGGCCCGATGAAAAGGTCCAGAGGACCAGGGGTGAGGGGTGGGCAGGGAGCACCCTCTCGCAGTACCCACTCAAGGAAAACCCGAGAGGTGGATGACAAGGCTGCCCCCCACCTCCTAGAGAATGTGGGGGGGTCAGGAGGGTGGAGAGCCCCATGCGCCAAGTGAGCACTTGGGGAGCCACCCAGTTCCCCCCGTTATAGTCCAGAGGTCTCCAATACTGGTGGTTTCTGACAGGACCAGCCTCTGGCACACCAAGGTGGACTCCGCCACCTGCACATGAAGGTAGAGGTTGTGTGGCAGGGGCTCTGCAAGTAGGTCCACCCTCTCAATGGTCACAATGGACCTAGTCACAGAGAATAGCTTCCAGGTCTGGAGGAGGTCCTGGGAGAAGACAGGCAGCTCAGAGAGGTCTCCTGGAAGACCCCCTCAGGTGGAGAAAAAAGAACTACCGGATGTATCGGAGCCCTTGGAGGCAGGAGAGAAAGGCGTGCGCTCCACACTGGACTACCTGCACCATAAAAGCAATCTGCAGGGCCTGCAGGCAGACCAGGCCCTGTCCTCCCTCCTCCAAGGGAGGACTCAGGCTCCCTGCAGAGACCCAGTGCAGTCCTGACCAGAAGAACTCCAGAGCTACCCTCTGCAGCCAGGCCAGGATCCCGGGGGGGGGGTTCAGGGTGTTGAGCCAGTGCCAGAGCATGGACAGGCCTATCCAGCAGTGGCCCCTGTGGCAAATGGCTGCCCAGGGTCACAGAATCCATCCCGCGGGCAGCAGGAAGGAAACTCAGCCCCCCAACGTGCCATGCTGGGGCAGGGGCTCCCGTGAGCCAGGGCGGCTCTTCCCAGTTCCCGCCTGTCTCGGGATCACCCCGCGCCCCAGGAGAGCAGAACTGGGAAGGCACCAAGGCCACGAGAACAAAGACCCGCCCCCGCGGCACCAAGCCCCAACAGCAGGCTCCGCCTCCCAGAGGAAGAAGCTCGATTTCTCGCGAGCTTTCTCCCAGCTCCTCAGTGACATCTCGCGAGATCTTCTTTACACCTCCCACCATTTCCTCCACCCCTCGTGAGGTCTCGCGACACTCCTTTGACTCCTCCTTTTTCCCGGCGGCCGTCGCCAAGATGGTGGGTAGAGGCGCGAGGGGCCCAGCTACCTCCGCACGGCACGTTACACCCGGAGCCTCCGTGGCCTCTGGGCCGAGCTGCCGGTGGGGGAGGGGTTCTCGCGCCTGCTTCAGCCCTGGCCCGGGTCCCTGCTGGGCGGCGCACGCCCCAGCCGTGGCGGGAAGCGGGCCGCCACCAGCGAGCTCTGGGCGGCTGGCGGCTTAAAGCCGGGCCCGACGGGGAAACTCGAGGAGGCGCCTTCCTGAAACTGGGATGCGCGGGATTGGGCCTGGGCCTGCGGGTCCGCTCCTGATACCTCCCTACGTACCGGGCACGTAGCCACCCCGTGCGCTCGGCCCCGCCACGCGCCTGCTCAGAGAGCGAGAGCGGGGGCGGCGGGAATTGGTCGGGTGCGTGGGGACCCTCTGGCTCTGCCCCGCCCCAGCGGCACTGAGCCCCTTCCTACCTGTACCCCGGGACACCCCGCCCCCACGTGCGGAGCGGAGAACCCAGCCACTGTGTGCAGGCGCCTGTTGTTTGTTCTGTTGTGGCAGCAGGCAGAGACCTCAGTCAGGGATAAGGTCCCATCGTGTTAAGTGCTGGGCACATCACAAACATGATCCTTTCCCAGAAAAGGGCCAGTCATGCAGCCGTACACACGAGGCTTGGATTGTCAAGTCCTTATTTGTTTCCCACTCTTGTCACTTGCTCTACGTTTTTATTCATACATGTACTGTGGTTTTTTTGTTTTTTCCTAGCCTTCCAGACTAAGGAAGACCAGGAAGCTGAGAGGACACGTTAGCCACGGCCATGGCCGTATTGGTAAGTGCAGAGAACGGTTTCTACTATGCTTGTGCTGGAACTTAATGTATGGTACGTAATTTGATTTACAGTGTGCCTGGTAAGTATCACTATTTAGAACACCAATGAGGCAATACGAGAGAGGTTCAATAATGGTCTGGTTAATGGCTATACATATCCAGTTCAAATCATATATTCCTCTATATAGTTCATGCTCATTGACTTGCTTTAAATCAACTCAAATGATGTCATAATGTTCGGTAGTGTATTCAGTAGTACATGTTGTTCTTGCATCACAATACCTTTTAAAATTTCTTTTAGGCAAACACAGAAAGCATCCTGGTGGCCGTGGAAATGCTGGGGGCATGCACCACCACAGAATTAACTTTGACAAATAGTAAGATATACTATCTTTTTCCTTCTACCCACTACTTTTGTGTATGTATTTTTAAAAAGTTACAAGGCAGTTCATTCTACCATATGTAGCACATACGTCATTTAGTAAAAGTATACAAACGTTGGATTTTGCTACAATACAAATAACCTTGCAAGAAAATTTAGCTGTTTTCTTTCATAGTCCTGTATATCCTTTATTAAATCTATGAAAAACCTTTTGTCCATCTGTTCTTTTAAAAGGAAAGTGTTAATAACAGGATCTTGGTTTTTAGTGAAAACAACGAGGAGTCCTTGTGGCACCTTAGAGACTAACAAATTTATTTGGGCATAAGATTAATTTGTTAGTCTCTAAGGTGCCACAAGGACTCCTAGTTGTTTTTGCTGATAAAGACTAACACGGCTACCACTCTGAAACCTGTCTTTAGTGAGTTAGATATGGTAAAATGGCTTGTTTCAGAGCTTCTAGTGTATGTGTTCGTATCTTTTAGAATTTTTTTCCACAATTAATTTAAGTTTGTAAGACACAAATAGTCTGCTCAGCTTTGATTCCGCACTATACATATATGCAATGACAGTAGATGAATCAAGCTTCTGTATTTCCTGGTTTTGGGAGGGTAAGAATCTTGTATTTAGACATTGCCGAGACTAGTGTCACGTCTAGACATTGCCCATTGTCATAGTTGTGCTTGAGTACTCGGAAAGTAACAACTAATCGCTGTTCACTGACTGTCACTACTTTCAGCTGTCAGTCAGTCACTGGGTTAGTAACAGAAGATCTGAATCTTCATTTCTCAACAAAATCTCTTCTAAAGTCAGAGTTCTGCGTGCCTATGAAATATAGAATGGGGCCCAAACTAATCACAAGAAAGATGAGTTGTGACTTTTGCTATCAAACATAAATATTTCATTAATAAAATTCCATGTATAGATATGGAAAATGTGAATATCCCTCAAGAATATACAAATAGCAACTTATTTACATCTGAACTTTAAAACTCTTGTGTATTTGTCTGTGTATAATTTTTCTGGACCCTATAGTTTGTTTAATATGTATATGATAAATGTTAGATAAACATACTTTTAACTGAGGTTATATTGATTTTTAGCACAGCCAATTCAAAAGAAACTAAAAGGAATGTGGTCTTATACTGTATCAAATATTTTTCCTCCCCAGTCATCCTGGTTATTTTGGGAAAGTTGGTATGAGACACTACCATTTGAAGAAGAACCAGAACTTCTGTCCTACTGTCAACTTGGATAAATTGTGGACACTTGTTAGTGAGCAGACAAGACTCAACTATGCAAAAAATCAGGCTGGATTAGCACCTGTCATTGATGTTGTACGCTCGGTAAGAGTGCTATTTAATCCTATCTTTAGAATCTATAGTTTCATATAAAATACACATTTTAAGTGATTAGAATGTTTGCTCATCTAGGAAATTAAACTAAATTATGGATAAATTCTTAGATCATTTGAAATGTCAGGTGAAAGACCTTGTGAGCATCTGACTTTGAGACGTAGTTCCATTAGTATGTGTTTTTTGCTTCTTTTTCCTTACACGAGCCCTTTTTGTTTTTCATGAATTAGTATTAAAATGTTTTTCTCTGCCTGAAAGTTTAGAATTTCGCATTGTTCATTTTTAAAACTGATGCATGTAGTGATGAGAAGCTTACAGATCAGCTTTTAAAAGAAAATTGGAAGGGTCTATAAAGAAAAACCACTTTTATTGCTTGTTTTGGCCCACTAAAGTTGGCCTCTTTAGCACCGAGACTAGAGTCACATCCTAACACATTTCATTGTCTTGGTGTGCTATAGTCCTCGAAGATAAATTTCTGATCCTTATTCACTGGCTGTGGTGTTTAATATCTCAGTCAGCCACCGAATCAGAGACATTCATTAGTCAGCCTGTCAGGACAGGGGGAAGCAAAAGTGTCATGTGGGGGAAGACTTAGGTTTAGCAGCATCCTTTGGGACTAGTATTTTCTGGGCTGAGGAAACTTGGTCTGTTCATGGAGATGACAATAATTCTAGATTAACCATTTGCTTTTCATCTATTACTAATTTATATTGCAGTAATACCTAGAATCTCATCAAGGGATTGGGGCCCCATTGTGTGCTAGGCTCTATACAGACATCCAAGAAAAGACAGTCCCGGCCTGATGGAGGTTAGACTTGGGTTGAGATTCTCGCCCTTGATCCTGCCCCTTTAGGTAAAAAGTTGGAGCAATATAATGGGGCTCTATGGCCTTGTCTACACTAGACTTTTGTCGGCCAAAGATATGCAGGTTTAATTGAAACTACTGTTGCTTGTCCACATTAGCTCCTCGTGTTGGCACAATGCATCCACACGAACAGCTTTTGCACTGACACAAAGAGCAGTGCACTGTTGTAGTTATGGATCTGTTGTAGTTATCCCACTATAGTTATCAAATTAATATCTGTTAAGATCCATTATCCCACTGTGCAACTGGCCGCAGGGTGCTTTGGGAAGGGTTTGCGATGCCTCATGGGGCAGGTACAGCATCACATTATGCAGGTTTTTCAATCCCATCTTTCAGGGGCATCCTAGTAGATTGTCAACTGCTTTTTCAATGGAAATGGGGGGAGAGGAGGAAGAGGAGAGTGGTGTGTGGGCGGGAGTGGCATTCTGAGCTCCCTGCTGAGGAATGTCAAAGGCGCTGCTCTTCCCTCCCCCCCCTCCCCCCCCAGCAGTCTGTCTGCCTCTCTGTTCCTAGTGCAGGGCAGAACAGGAGCATTCCACACAAATGATATCGCTCTTTGTTCCAGCACCTGGAGCTGTGAAAAGGGAGGGGCGCATGCCTGCAGAGCAGCAGAGATCAAAACAATAAGCAGAGCGGTCACAGCAGGCATTGTGGGATACTGGTGGTTTTATTTGGTCTTCAAAACAGAGTTTTGCCACCAAAAGCAGCTTTGTAGTGTGTACACCACCCCTATTTTGTTGGTAAAAGGCAGCTTTTGCCAACAAAACTTTGTAAAGTAGATAAGGCCTAAAAGCCCCAGATCTGGTTGGCGGTGGACTTTTCCTAGACCACGAACTGTAGAAGACAGCTAGTTGTAAGACTGCCTTCCAGGGATCCCTTCACAAGTTGGTTGTGAGTGTGGGTGTGAACAAAGATGGCTTTAACTAAGCTGAGCCTCTTAAAGTTGCAGCACAGAATCTCAGGCTCTGTTCAACTTTTTCCAGCACCTTCAGCAATCTGTGATTTTATATCATCATGCACAATCAATCCAGTATCCTTCAGTTTCAGGAAGGCTAGTCATAGCTTTACCTCCTGGAAAGTCTGGAAAAAAGTACATTTTCTGGATAATATGCAAAAAAATTGGATTTTTAAATGACTACAGAAGTTTGAAGAATGAAACTTTCTGGAAAACTTAGCATAAATTGAGCAATAAAAGTCAAGAGTGAAACAGTGTGCTGCACTATTTTTGTTCTGAGCAAAAATGTGGAAATGCATATAGCACTCTGTTCTTCATAGACTGGAGTTAATTATGCAAGATGTGTTTGGTGAAATTAAAAGAAAAACAAGTTGTTTGTTTGTTGCCACACTTCAGTTTACTGCTTATGTGCTCAAGTTCTGGAAAGATTCCATGTTTGTCACAACATGCAAAACTGCTGATATCAGTCGTGTTTGCAGTGTTGTGTCCATGTTGGTCTCCGACTATTAGAGAGACCAGCTTGAAAGTTTTTCTTTCACCAACAGAAATTAGTTCAATGAAAAAAAATTCTCATCCAGCTTGTTTCTCTATCAGTCATGGTCAAGTATTAATTTGAATGGATCTGAATGCAAATATGGTGGTTGTACTTATTCTTTCTGCTGTTAATGGAGTTAATCTTTCCTTGACAGATACATCTTCTCACTTGCATCAAAGTCCATTGATTTAGCCAAATTACACCTGTCACTGGTGTAGGTGGGAGAAGAATCTGAGTGCTGTACCTCTGGAGTTTTTAATGAAAATCTGTTTGTTAACTTATCTTATATCTTTCTAGGGTTATTACAAAGTCCTGGGCAAGGGGAAGCTGCCCAAACAGCCTGTAATTGTGAAAGCAAAATTCTTCAGCAGGAAAGCAGAGGAGAAGATCAAAGAAGTTGGTGGAGCATGTGTGCTTGTGGCATAAGAGTTTTGTATTTATTCAAGTTTGAATAAAGACACTATAAAATGAATGGCTTTCACTTTGATTTACCAAAATGTTTTTATGGGGAGATGTTTGCTTACCCAAATGTTTCTAAGGGCTGGTCCACACTAACCCCCCAGTTCGAACTAAGATATGCAACTTCAGCTACGTGAATAATGTAGCTGAAGTCAAAGTATCTTAGTTCGAAATACAAGGTACTTACCGCGGCTCCACACGCGGCAGGCAGGGTCCCCCGTCGACTCCACGTACTCCTCTTGCGGAGCAGGAGTAACCGGTGTTGACTGCGAGCACTTTCGGGATCGATTTATCACGTCAAGACAAGACGCGATAAATCGATCCCAGAAGATCGATTGCTTACCACCGAACCCGGAGGTAAGTATAGACGTACCCTAATACTTAATCAAACTTAGGCCCTGTCCATACCATAACTTTTAACCAAATTTGTGACATTAGTGGCATGGGTGGTTCTCAACAAGATTGATGTCTGCCTGCATAGCACAGATACGTTAATAGTTTTGCTTCTGCTGGTATTTTTGCTTTCCTGTAACTGGACATTAGTCTCCTGCAGTTTGGATAGGACCCTTGAACCACATTTGTGTAACTGGTTTGATTGGTGGCCTGTCCTTCTAGCACTCTGTGGTGATACAGTATTTCCCAGAATTGCCCCATTTTCTGTTAATGCTGCTTTGTGCCTCCAGAATTCTGTTCTCTCCTGCAGTTGTACTCTGGGTAATATGCACAAACATAGGTGTGATAGAAAAGCTGCCATGTTGACACAAACTGAACTTGTAATCAGCTAAGGTAGCATTGCTTGTAAGTGGTTTACAAAACTATTAGTTAAAGGGTGGGCAAACTATGGCCCATGGGCCGGATCTGGCCCGTGGGATTGCCCCGTGCTGCTCCTGGAAGTGGCCAGCACCGCGTCCCTGCGGCCTCTGGGGAAATATGGGTGCAGAGGGCTCTCTGTGCCGCAGCTCCCATTGGCTGGGAATGGGGAACTGTGGTCAATGGGAGCTTTGGGGGAGGTACCTGCAGGCAAGGGCAGTGTACAAAGCTCTCTAGCCCAGCCCCGCCACGGGATGCAGAAAGGTGCCAGCCACTTCCAGGAGTGCTGTGGGGCCCAGGCAGGGAGCCTGTCTTAGCTCTGCTGTGTACCACTGCGTACTGCTGTCACACCGGAGCTGCTTCAGGTAAACAGTGCTGGGCCAGAGGCTGCATCCTGCACCCCAACCCCCTTCCCTGAGCCCCCTCCTGCATCCCAATCCCCTGCCCTACATTCATGGCCCTGCAATTTCCCTACCCAGATGTGGCCCTTAGGCCAAAAAGTTTGCTCACCCTGAGTTATGTTGACAGGGCCTCAAGCCCTAATACACCTCTACCCTGATATAACGCTCTCCTCAGGAGCCAAAAAAATCTTACCGTGTTATAGGAGAAACCTCGTTATATCAAACTTACTTTGATCAACCAGAGTGTGCAGCCCCAGCGCGCTGCTTTACTCTATTTATATCCAAATTTGTGTTATATTGGGGTAGAGGTGTACTTAATATTCCAGTTATCTTGCCACAGGCATTGTCCTATTGGTCAGTTGAGACGTCTTGGTTGCAATGTGCCTGTCCCTGATGGTGGGTGCAGTGGGATACTGACTGACTCATTCTAGAAAAGGCATGCCCTATTTATCAGCACTACAGATGGGAATTAACCATAAATCTCTCCTTAAATTTCACTGGCACAGCTAAACCCTTATTACTATACCTCACAATATATCTTACTAACTAATGAAAGGGTATATAAACTTGCTTTTTATAGGTAGTTATGGGTAAGTCAGTTAATAACCATATCCTTGTTTGTAGAATGAATGCAGTAATATGTACATCATAGTGTTAAGGCTAAATGAATTCACAAACATCTTCAACATTCTGAAAGTTAGCATGTAAATATACACCTTTACACGGATATACCGCTGTTCTCGGGAGCCAAAAAAATCTTACTGCATTATAGGTGAAATCACGTCATATCAAACTTGCTTTGATCAGCTAGAGTGTAGAGCCCTGCCCTCCCAAGCACTGCTTTACCGCAATATAACCGAATGTGTGTTATATCAGGGTAGAGATGTATTCCTTTATCATTGCATTTGGCTCACTGCATTCCTAGGACTTCAGATCTTAAATTTCTTAGATTCAAACACTTTAAATCAAGTGGTTTTATTTGTAAAAGTGACTCAAATGGGTAAGCAGTACTCTGCACCCAAACAAAAAAGTCTTCTGTAGATAAAGAATATGCTGTGTGTTCTCAATATGGTATCAAAAGATGCTAAAAAGCTATGCAGCAAGTAATTAAATGGCTGCTTGGATGTGAGCCTGCCTCCCCTTTTGTTTACCAGCAGTAGTCTCTAAGAATGACTTCAATCTATCACACACTTCAGTTCAACCTACAGGACTGCTAAGGTAAGTAATTTAATATTTCAACAAAAGATAAGGGAGCCTTCCATACTGCTTTCCAAAATGCAAGAGGGTCTCAGTATTCAAAAGAGGCTTAAAAGTAAATCCATTATGGCATAATCTTAACCGTGGAAGTTTTCAACATTACACTTTGACTTGAAGTTTATTTTAGCAGTTAAATAGGAAGCGATTGCTCCTAAGACACTGACTAACACTCATAAGAAACAGCTAATACATAAATTAGTAGTTGCTTGTTGTGGTGGAGTACTCAATAGGACTGTGGTCTCAGCAATATTCACATAAGTCAATATTCACTCAGCAATATTCACATAACCTTCCCCCCAAAAAATCATGATTTGTTTTGAAACTAACTTTAAAAAAAATAATTTCAGACATCTGATAGATTTTTTTAATCAAGTTTGAATAAAGAGTTTTATGCCACAAGCACACAGGCTCCACCAACTTCTTTGATCTTCTCCTCTGCTTTCCTGCTGAAGAATTTTGCTTTCACAATTACAGGCTGTTTGGGCAGCTTCCCTTTGCCCAGGACTTTGTAATAACCCTAGAAAGATACAAGAGAAATTGGCATAAATAATATTCAGGAAGAACTATAATCCTCTGCATCCACAATCTTTAATAGTAATTGGAGAGAAATACAAAGTATCAAATTTTAATGAAGAAAATGCAAATTTGGTCATGACTGATGTTTGCAATTCAGTCGTTTTGCATGGTGTGAATTTATCATCAAATACTCTCAAAACGTAAAAATTACATCAGCTTAAAGCTGTACAGTTTTGCCAAGAATTTTAATTCTCTTTGAATTTTACAAACATCTGTAGATAATGGAACTCTACAGTCCATGAAGAAAGTTATTTACATATCAGATTCTTCATTTTAATGGATTTTGTTAACCAACAACCAGCTAAAGATAGAATTTTGGCATAGTTTTCAACAATCCTAACAAGAGTTTAGCATTTCATGATGCACAATAAAGCCCATCTTATCTCTTGGCTATTGGAGAGCTTATAATTATTCAGCTTCCCCCCCAATAGACATCAGTAGGGCTAGCTGCCTCCTTTTGATGTTGGAAAACGAGTCTAGGAAACAACAGAAAGCAATTGCTTGGACTAGTTAACATCTTCCAACAGATGGTTGGTTCTATTAAAGATGACACCTCTTCTAGATCTAACAATAGTCCTTAAGTTGGTCATAAGAGTCTCCCATATGGCTTTGTTTTGACCTACTCTAACCAGGCTGGCTGAAAGTATCAGTTGTAATTAAAACAATGTTACTGATCAGGTGACTGACTGAGGCATAACACACCATAGGCAGTGAATATAGATCAGTAGTCTTTCTCCGAGAACTATAGCACACCAAGACAATGAGAAGTGCCAGGATGTGACTCTAGCCTCGATGTGGAAAGGCTAACCCACATTATGCTGGAAAATTACATGCACTAAAAGCTCTAAGGCCATGTCTACACTACCACTTATGCCGACAAAACTTATGTTGCTGACATGGTTACACTGGCATCCTCCAGTGGTCTCCTAAAGCCGATACCTATGACTGATCTGAGCAGTTGCATGTAAGGCTTCATGTCTGTCACAGATTCTGTGACTTTCCATGACCGCCGTAGCGGCCGGTGCTGGCTTAGGGGCTGTCCAGCTTGGGCCCTGGGCCAGTAGCAGCAGTTTGGGTGTAGGAGGGTGCTCAGGTGCAGGTCAGCGTTTACCTAGGCAGGGGATCCCTGGCTCCCACTGGCATGTCCCTGCAGCTCCAACTGACTGCAGAGTCAGCACTTGTGGCACGAGCAATGCACGGATCCCCCCTGGCTGCCGCTCCCCTTAGGAGCCCTGGGGAAAAGCTTGTTGGAGCCAGGTAGGGAGCCTGCTGGCCCCACCCCCAGCAGGGGTCCCAGGGCATGCACTGCCTCCCCCTCTCCCCCAGTTTTAGTGAGGGGTATGTAGTAAAAGTCATGGACACATCATGGGCTCTGATTTTTTATTTACTGCCCGTGACCTGTCCATGACTTTTACTAAAATACCCATGACTAAAACCTAGCCTTGGTTATAGGTGCACAAGGGGAGAGACAGACTCCAGTAAGACTGAGTTTAAATGTGGAGAGTACTGATTACATACATCACAGAAGCTAGTTCAAAGTATTTTTCTTAACTGTGAACATTAAATACTAGGGGGAAATTATTTTAAATTTGTTTTAAAAAATATTAAACACAAGCCAAATAAAGATGAAAAATACAGTGGCACGTATTTAAGCAGAATTAGTTTCATACAGTAGATCAGTGAACAAGACCCTAGGCAAAAAAATAAATGCAAGCAATTCCAATGTGAACGTATGCCAAGTAAAGCACACTTACTGAGCGTACAACATCAATGACAGGTGCTAATCCAGCCTGATTTTTTGCATAGTTGAGTCTTGTCTGTTCACTAACAAGTGTCCACAGTTTATCCAGATTAACAGTAGGGCAAAAATTCTGGTTCTTCTTCAAGTGGTAGTGTCTCATACCAACTTTCCCAAAATAACCAGGATGACTAGAAAGAAAAATCAATATAAGACATTCTATTTGGTTTAAATTAGAACTATTGGGGTTTCAAGAATGTTAAATGCGTAAACAAAGTATTTTTTCAAGCAGCTGAAGTTTTATTATTTGGATTTTTAAAATCTGGACTCATTCATAAGAGACTACATGTGAATGAAATGTTTGTGTACATTTCATAACAAGTATCTTCAATACACACATGAATATCATCTAAATTGTCCCTGGTTCTTCTTGCTAATTTATCAAATAAGCAAAACCTGTGACAGAAAAGGAAAATAAGTAGAGAAATACTGGATTTGAAGTGTTATTTGCTGATGTAATCAACTGTTCTTATATTTCAATGATGATCACATTTTCTGAATCTACAAATACAATTTAGTATTTTTGTAAGCAGAATTCACAACTTGTACATCCTTTCTGATTAGTTTTGGTTCAGCCTGCAATCTCTGTCCACCCAAAGCTTTGGAATGGAGGTCTAGGCCTTGTTACTAACCTGGTGACTGACTGAACTACTAATAGGGACAGTCAGTGAATAAAGGTTAGTCGTTATTCTCCGAGTACTCTAGCACACCATGACAAGAAGCAGTGTCTAGATGTGACTCTAGTCTCGGACATCTTGAAATACATATCTCTTGCCCCATGAATGTTAATAAGATCCGGATAATGTTACACTGTATGGTTACCATATAGTAACATTGCAGTGGCTCAGATCTGAACAGACTACTGGTATCCCAACCTTTAGTTAACTAAGTTCTAAAAAACCCAACACGTGAACAGTTCTGAAATATTTCAGAGTAGCAGCCGTGTTACCCTGTATCCACAAAAAGAACAGGAGGACTTGTGGCACCTTAGAGACTAACAAATTTATTAGAGCATAAGCTTTCATGGACTACAGCCCACTTCTTCGGATGCCTATAGAGTGGAATAAATATTGAGGAGATATATATACACACATACAGAGAGCATGAACAGGTGGGAATTGTCTTACCAACTCTGAGAGGCCAATTGAGTAAGAGAAAAAAAACTTTTGAAGTGATAATCAAGATAGCCCAGTACAGACAGTTTGATAAGAAGTGTGAGAATACTTACAAGGGGAGATAGATTCAATGTCCAGGAAAGCTTATGCTCTAATAAATTTGTTAGTCTCTAAGGCTTGGTCTACACTACCCCCCTAATTCAAACTAAGGTACGCAACTTCAGCTACGTGAATAACGTAGCTGAAGTCGAAGTACCTTAGTTCGAACTTACCTTGGTCCACACTCGGCAGGCAGGCTCCCCCGTCGACCTCCCGAGACTCA